GTTTATACTCTCTATGCAATCTCGTGCATGCTTTGTAAATGTCAATAATATATATAACTTAAGATATAATGTCAAGTATATGTAATGCATAGAAAATGATTATATTGCAATCAATTTAATAAAGTAACTCCTTCATTTATATTATTATATCAACATTCTTATTTCGACCAATAATTGTAACAAATTCGTAATAAATATAAATATAAAAAATATAAAAACGAACAATGAAAAGGAATGGCACTAGTTTGATATATTTTCAATTTTGTGACATCTTCACTTTCTATAATTTTTATATGTAATAATATTAATAAAAATTATCTTTGCTAAAAAGTTGTATAATTTATTTTTTAAAAACCCAACTTTCTTTTTAAAGCAGAGAGAGAGGAGAGAGAAAGGGAAGGGCAGAGATGGGAAGAGTTTTAATTCTCGCTTGAACTCTCATGGCTCCTGCACACTGAACGCGAAAAAGCTTACCACGCGGCAAAATGCGACGCGGTAACCAATGAACATGTTAGGAGTTGTAAGCTTATTGGCTACCACGTCACATTTTTCCGCGCGGCAAGCGTTTCCGCGTCCAGTGTGCAGGAGCCATCAGGCTTGAAGTTAAATTGGTGCTACGAGCCAATTATAATATAAAATATTTAATAATTTAAAAATCGTACATACAAACGTTTCGACACGATCGGGTTATTTTCATTGTAAAACAACGAACAATATTACATAAATTATCGGAAATTTCGGTCACATTATATGTCTAGTATGCGGTCCATATGTAAAAATATCCTAAAGGTGATCTCATCTCACTTTTCACAATTCTACAATCTCACAAAAAATAATAACTTGACATTGCGTTACAGTTTAAATTATCGAGTATGTACATTTTATAGTAAATTAGTAACAATTAAATTACATAAATATATATACTTTAAATTGTCTTAATGATGTAAGTTAGACGCCGAGAATAAAACGCAATTAACAAAGTTATATTTAATAAAAAGTAAGCCACAATACTGTTGGATATAACATTTATCCTCGACGATGTACAGCGACGTTATGACAAAAAGGAAACAAAGAAATAGGAAAGATAATCGGAAGGGGACAAAGGATAATGTTAAAAAGGGGAAAGAGATTTAATGTTTAGATATGATTCTGGCAGAGAATCTGTGTCATTTTGTTTGTTTAGCCCATGCGTTTGTCGTTTTATGTGAACCATCTCCGATATTAATCTCTTATTAAAAAAAACTTCTCTGTCTAAAATTTCAACATTGTCCCAGTCGAAATTGTGATTCTGGTCAATGCGGTGACTCGTGATCACTGTTGGAGATTTTGACTTCTTATTAATATCGGAGACATGTTCGTGTAATTTTGTCTTTAATTGTCTTTAATGGTCTGACTCATGTAACTAGCTTCACAGTCATCGCAACAGATCTTGTAAACAACATTTTGATTGCATAAGGGATCTAATTGATCTTTGCCCTTTCTAATAAAATTTTTTAATGAATTTGGTATCGAGAAGGCCAACTTACAATGAAACCTATTTGCAATTGGAGTAAACTTTTCCGATACCGAACTCACGTAAGGTATCGTGAAAAATTTCTTCTTGACCTTTTTCTCGACCGCTCCATTCTTATTAATGTGGAACTTTATTCTTTTTTGTATTGAAGAAAAAATAAACTCTAGTGGATAACTGTTATTTTAAAAAAATATTTATTGCCTTAATTAAATTGTTTTGCTGGAACCGTGGATGACATAACCGTAAATTACACCTCTCTTATGACAAAACGGATGGTGTGAATTAAAATTTAGAAATCTGCCAGAAAACGTCGCCTTGCGATATAAATCAAAAACTAAAGCTTGATTTTCCACAATCAACATAGTGTCTAAGAAACTTAGTTTTCCATCTGTGCCAACCTCCATAGTGAACTGCAATCTACTATGTAATGAATTAAAAATTTTTAAGATGTCATTGATATTCTCTGATGAAGCAGCTAAGATAATATCATCCACATATCGAAAATAAAATAAGAGCTTAACAGGTAATTTTTCAATTGCTGTTCTTTCCAAATCTTGCATAACTATATCCGCAGCAATTGGGGATAAAGGTGACCCCATCGGAGTACCAAAAATCTGTTTGTAGAATTTGTTATTAAACATAAAAAAAGTAGAATTTAAAACCAAACGAACAGCAATTAAAAACTCATTTAACGGTATAGCAGTCTTCCCAGATATATAATCCTATCGTTTTGTAATACCATCAGACACCAATTCTGGGAACGTTCGTAACAAGGAAACGATGTCCAATGATACCAGCAAATGATCAGGTTCAATGCGAATATCCTTTAATTTTTCGACAAGCTGAAAACTATTCCTGATGTAGCTAGGTGCTTCCAATATAGAATCATTAATGATATTGTGCAGATATAACGAAAAATAATATAATGGACTATTAATTGATGAGACAATAATTCTTAACGGGTTTCCCTGTTTATGAATCTTAGTTAAATCATATGCTCTGGGAACAGATTCGAGAGTTCAGTGAGCAGTCGTAGTACTGAATGCACCCAATCAGAGAGACCTGGAGGTGTCTATTTTTAAAAAGAACCGTATACGAAAGTTTAGGGAAATACTACAGTTACGTATACTATAGTATTTTCCTAGTTTTTTGTATACATTTCTTTTCAAGAATACAGCTCCGGATCACGTGATGCAATGTGCCACTCTCTCCCTGTACCACTCTCTAAGGCCGGAATCAGACTACGCATTGAAGATTAAGATTGAAGATTGATCGATTGAAATTTGACTAATCAAAACAATAGGAGCTAAAATTCCTTTGTCTTCATTGGTCAAATTTTAATCTTCAATCTTCAATTTCAATCTTCAATGCGTAGTCTGATTCCCGCCTAGTGTACTGTTTGATTTATGCTTCGGTCTCAACCCTAAAATCCTAAAATTTAGCCAATAGGGCTGCCAGTCTTAATTGGTCCTAACTGAAATCTGTGTTCCATTGCCTGAATTTTAGAATTTTAGGGTTAATACCGGAGCATAAACCAGGCATACGATGTAAACTACGCTAATGGCCTAATGTTCGCATGAACTAAATGTCTTTTATTGCTGGATTCTCCAAACTGGGGGGGTCGATTGTGTATCTCGAAATAAGGTGAAAATTGCAAAAGTGAGTAGTAGAATACTCATAATTTAATTGGTCAATAACTAGTGAATTTGCTCACTTTTGTAATTTTCATTTCATTTTAAAATACGCAATCGACTCCCTGGTGTACGTAGACGGTGCATGAGTTGAAGTGAAACAAATGTATATTTGTTTCACTTCGAGCCGATTGTTCCAACTTCTTCGTAAAGTTTACCTGTTAGGTAAGTAGCAAGATTATCCAATTACATGCGCGGATTGCCAGATTTACCTAACAGGTAAACTTTACCAAAAGGTAGAACAATCGGCCCTTCAACTTATTGCACTCGTTCAGAGAGTGCAGCAATAAAAAAAAACGGATCTATGAAAAGGCCTTGCATGTTCGATGGTTGCGCGTCGTGCGGATTTTGCTGCGCGGCAAGCGGTTCCTAGGCCGGTATTCATAGTCGGTTCTTACTTCAAGGCTGAATTTAAGACAGTCTTAGATCTAGAATTTAAGATCTGACTATGAATACAGGCCCTAGAGACACCATAATAAGAGATTGACATAGACTGGGCTAATTTTTGATTGGCTGGATATGGAATGGCAGAAGCCAATCAAAAGTCGTGCTGGTAATAGATGTGTTACGTCTCAGGAAGATTCGATCGATCCCTGGTTTCGACCTAACTTGATGCTGGATTCACACTGCATCCGATTTTCGTCGTACGAC